AGCAGCAGTTTAGACCTGCACATGTAGACATGTCAATATTACCACCTACAGGCAAAAAAAGATCTTTTTATCACTGCTGTTTCTGTGTATACATATGGTTCTCTTTCTAAATATAAAGCATGTTCAGCAGTAAGTTTTGGCAGAGACTTGACTTTTGGACATTTAACACTTGCTGGCAACTGAACCTTTTCTGCTCCAAAAAAGTAACATTTAGCAGCTGCAACACTCAGTATCTGAATGTGGAAACCCGCAAGTGTCAAATTGGAGAAGCTGTTACTTTTTCTGTCTGTAGGTGGCGCAGGTTGGACTGCAGCTGTGCAACTGTCTGATATTCACAGACACGAGCAAAATAAGCACCTTAATCTGTCCCTCTGTGACACGTCATCCTGCTCTTGATAACACAGGTATCAGTGCTTTAAGTCGGCCTGGATGTACGAGGTGTTGCACTCCGGCTTCCGTTTCCCCACCGACTACCCGAGTCTGAAAACAGCCCAGCTGGTTTATGACAAGGAGGTGCAGTGGACTCTGGGAGCCATCCTGTTCAGAACCCGCTTCCTGCCTCTCAGGTAATCATTACAACAGATACATATAGACCAGGACAGCACCTCTGACAGATCCTACAGTGAAATATATCATGCTTTCAGGGAAATGCCACTGAATACCACCTCTTAACACCGTCATCATTTCTTTTGAATCTACTTCTCCTCCCGTCCCTGTAACCTTTTTAATCTTGAGGATTTGGAAACAAAGGACAGTATGCTAAGTATTTCAGAGGAATATGCAAAGGGTGACATAATGAAAGAATACTAGCCTTCCATCTTCTATCATAGTGTTGCTCCCTTCCTCTAGACTTAAGTAGAAGGTATTTATAGATGCATACAAAACCTGTGTTCCCTGGTTAAAACCATAGCACAGTGGCTGAACTTGACTTCACTTGAAATAGTTCCAAAACTAATCCTCCTCACATCAATGTACCAATTTTGATACCTCATTTTGAAAAGTTACAACTGTACGTTCCTCTTTTTATCAATTCAATGCCCTTACAGTTAGTGCTTGGCAAATGAAGAGGATGCCTTTCTTATAAAGGATTAATTAACATTTGGGAGGATCTATTGGCAGAAAATAGTTTTCATTAGAAAGAGACATTTTTATCTACAGAGGGAGTGGGTTGCCTTCCATGAAGGCCGCCATCTTGAACCGCCATGTTTCTACAGTAGCCCAGAACGGACAAACTAAACACTGGCCCTAGATGGGGTTTGTCCGACAAGCTAGGAAGGGGAGGATGAAGCGAGGGATTTGAAATCTGCTACACCATTAGATGCCTCCAAATCCTAGACACTGGTCCTTTAAATCTCTTTTAAAGTCTAATGAACTTGAAAACATGCAGGTTAGTGTAGGCTGAAGTTTTGCTATTAAACATCACAGAGAATAGGCGTACTGTATGGGGCCAGTGCTTTTGGTTTTCATTGTAAAGGACACACTGTTACTGTTATTGTGTTCATCAGTAAGGATTAGTGTTATGTATGAAACGTGCCAGCGTATTCATGCGGTCTGCTGCCCCTCATGTCATCTCCAGGGACCTGCAGCAGGAAACGTTGCGGCAGAACCACTCCAGCTGGTTGCGCTCCTCCTTTGTGTACAACCACCACCTGTTCTCGCTCTGCATCCTGGTGGTGGTACTGGCCATCCTGCTCTACATCCTGCGCCTGCGGAGGATCCACCAGCGGGAGCAGCGGCAGGCCGAGGCCCTGAACCTCCTCTGGGTTGAAGAGGGAGAGGCTCTCCTCCCCTGAGAAATACATGTGTGTTGCGGAGCTTCCAGACTGGTAACCTGCAGGGTCTTGTCCAAACCACTAAAACTAAAGAATGCCAGTACGGAGGACAGATAATAGGAACCTGGAAATTAGTCACCCGCTAAGGGTGTGACTGGGTTAATGAGGGTATATGGGAAGACCCAAGTTTTTACTGCGTGGAAAAACATCACAGTACAGAGACAGTTTAATGAGCCTGGAAATCAAACTGCTCTGTATATTCTTGATTGTGCAGCTTTAAACACAGAGCTCATCCCCAATCGGACAGATGTTCTCTGTGTTTACTTTCTTCTCTTTAAGACCATTTTGGAAGAAAAGAATCGACTTGGCAATTCTCCGAAGATTCAGTGGATTGATAACTGCTGAGTGAGACAGACAGGTGGTAAAACTCCCCGGCAGAGGAGCTTTAACACAGGAATATGGATTTGTTGAAGACCATTCAACATTCATATGGGAGAGGCTGCCTGAAGGAAATGCAACTCATCCCTAAGTGAGCCTGTTAGGATTCGTTTCTTTCCATGAAGAAATAATTATGTGGTAGGAAGGTGATTGCAACACCTGCTAGCAGCGGACGGTCGGTCTGTCCGCAGTGAAACTATCTCCACCAATCCAATGGCTAAAGAGTCTGGCATCGACATTCATCTTCACTTAATGCTTAATGGGGCACCACCAAAGTTACATTTTAATTCATGACATGGATACCTCCAAAACATATCTATCTTCCTATAGCTGTACTTTAGACAGTCCTTCCAGGATTTTGTTTTGCTTTATTGGTTTTATTTTTGCAGAACCGTTGAGCCTTCGTTTTTAGGATAATTCGTTTAAAAATTTAAGGCAGCTTGTTCCAGTGAGAATAAAATCACCAGTAGTGTGGTGACATACGGCTCAATGAAACAAAGAAATACAGAGCACAAAGTTTAGCTAAGCCTTTATGTAAAAGTTTAGGCTAATAGATCGTATCGGATTACACTTCTTTTCCCTTCGTTATCCAGTCCGGACAGATACCAGTACCAATGTTACAGTTGGCTCAACTGTAACAGGATACTAGTTTTACTCGTATAGGAGTTCAATGAAGTCTAACTTAGACTGAAGAAAGCGGAGCAATATCTGACAATGTGGAGCTGATTTTGACAAGTCTGAAATGTCCCAAAATGGCCACTGTACCTTTCATACACTTCATATTGTCTGTATAATTTCCTAAACATCTTTCTTTTGGTGCTCCAGAGTTGTCTACATCTGTTCCTTTCCTTCAACATGTACATATGATCTTTGAGTATCTTCATCTGACATCAACCTGACATTCCCACCTGCGTACAGAGAGAGCAAAGGTAAAGACGCTGTCACTTCGCTGGGAGCTGATTTTTATTTAACCTGAAATCTCAAAATCCTTCTTTTACCACTACTAGCAGTGGAAACGTTCACACAGCAAAAGTGATTTAGCATTGCACTTCAGTGTGCGGTGATATCATCACGAGTGCAGCATTGCTTTTCTGCCATCAAAGATATTGTTTCATCTACACCTCTGTACGTCCCGATGGGATCATTTCCTCGAAAGCAATCCTGCAGAGCGATGATGTCAGCTGCCGAGCTCAGGCCTCAGATTGTGCTTTGATACTTGAATGCCACTGTTGTCCTGCCCAGACCCCCGCCAAGCACAGATTTCTATCAGAGGAAAGACGGAGCCAGGAGGCATTTTAGCCTGAAACAAGCGGAGAGATCTGCTCAGTGTTTGGATGAAGGCGCTGAAAGCAGACGAAGACCCCGGAGGCCTGATTAAAGCAGATGCCGTCTGATTTCTGAACGCAATAACTCCATGAAAGGGAAGAAACTTGTCTCTTGCCAATGACCAAAATGGAGGCTGGGCCGTGGCAAGAAGTACAGAAAAGATCTATGGTTTTCAAAATGAACTACTTTAAAGCCATTTCTGAGGAAAAAAGCCTTACCCTGAGAGAAGGGGTCTATTTTATTCAGTTTTTATGTCTACTGTATTTCATAGCTGTAAATGAAGCCACTGCTTTCTAGCTGTTGTTTTTTTGTGACTCGTGGCATTATGTGCTGACAGACTGATGCACCAAACCATGACGATGCAAATATGTGTCTGAGCAGCACCTGGTGAAACTTCCTGAGAAGTTACATAATGTGTCGATCCCACAGTGGGAGATTTTATATATCTGCATTTAATTTGTAATTAATTGTACTGATTTCAGTCAGATGTGTGGGACGTCAAACTAAATGATCATCAGACCATGGTTTTTAAAAAAAAAAAGCTGTTTTGTAACCTGTGGTGCTGATGTTGTAAAAAAAAAAAGAAAAGAAAAAAGAGAGATGGAAACTGTCTGGGAACGAGACAACTTCTGTACTGTGTGTTTGTAACCTTCGTCTCCTCATCTGTACTTCAAAAACACTTTTCCACTTGTGAATCCTGGACCAGCTGTGTGAGTTTCTGATGCAGAGGCTAAAAGTCTGAACGCTGACAGTGATTTCTGTTTTATTTCCTCATCTACCTTCCACTGTAAGGTAACTGTGGACCTCTTTCTGATTCATTCTGTCGCTCTGTTTTGACTCCTGACACGGGACCAGCAGTTGGGTCCGTCTTTCCAGCGCTGGGCATTGTGCAATGTTGAACAGTAATTCACTGAAGGGGAAACTTGACTTTGATGTTTTTAATTAAGGTACCTTTTAACATCAATGTGAATAGAAACAATTCCAGTCCAATAAAGGATCATTTTTAATTAAATCAGTTTTGTGTGTAGTCTGTCAGGATTTAGGGGCGGTTAAGCCTTCAGCACTGTCTTGCAGGCAATCTCAACCTTTATGCCCCCATCAATCAACGTTCACAGAGGTCAGAAATGATGGAACCCTTCGGTCTTGTGGTGAAAAGAGGAATGTCACCTTTGAGAAAACAATCTCACCACAAGATCCATTTAGTGGCTTCTCAGTGACTTTTTCCTGAGCACTCATGATGGAAAAGCTCCAGACAACTGGGATATGATCAAAAGCTCTACAACAGCTACTAGATGGAACTTGTGAAATTGTTTTCTTAACTGCTTTTCCAGGATCAAGTCTGTATGAATCTCAATAATGTACTTGTTTTAGAGTTGTTGTTTAGGAGTTTAGACGTTTGAGACATTTACATCCACTGGATGTTTGGAGGGTGTGAACTTGAACTTTCACTTTGGATTTTCTGTCACTTTTTGTGAGTATAACAGTAAAATTATGAACGCCTTCTAGAAAGGGTGTTCCTTCAGCCCCATTTGTATATTTTATTGCATCTTTCCTCCCTGTGACGGCAGGCAGCTATAAACTCCTCCGCAGTTCCAATGAAAACTGTCCATGATGGGATTTGTGGATTAAACAGATATTTCAAAATGTGGGCCAAATAAAACAAAACCAATCTGCATAGTTTGATACTATTAAAGATAAGTTAAAAAGCAGATTTCATGTTGTTATTTTATTTAGTTTAACCCTTTAAATTGGGTTCAGTGAGTTTAGTTCTGGGATTGTTAATGTGTATCCCAAAAGTACAACCTATGAGTAAGTATAACAGTTCACTGAGGGCTAAAATGTCCCAAGCACTGAAGGAGGGGACTGATCTGCAGTTGGCACTTGTCTACTATAAACTGGTATGAGTTGAATCCTGCGGTGAATCGATGCCAGCCTGTAAAACAACCACTGCCAGCACACGTCAAAACACACACAGGCCCGATCCTCGCCTTCATTCCTTCAGGATGAAGTTATGTAAAAAGCTACTTTTATAATCAATGCAGTGACTCTGTGTGGCCTGCTAGTGGTGCTGTGCAGCATTCATGAACCTGGTGATCCTTCAGTGGAAATACACACACATCCTGACTTCAAGGTGCTGCAGGATGTGATGCACGGAAGACAAAAGGCAGCACCTGAAATTGATCACACTGTCACATCGCTGCCATTAACAGTTAAAACCTGACAAAATGCACACAAAAAAAAAGAATGAGCAAAAGAGGCTTAAAAAGGCGGATTCTGATAATACTCATGCATGCATTGTACGTTGAAGGAACACAGCCCAATTTTTATTTTAAAAATATACTTTAATACAACAGCTGCATATAAATATTAAAATATACATTATACAGGTGTACAGTACACTCACACAAAACAAAAACAAAAAATATTAGGCTTCTATTTGTACGGCACTTCTTGTATTTTATTTTTTTGTATTTTTTTTTTTGTACTATTTTCTTAAAGGTTACTTACTGACGAAGGAGTTGTACATAAAGATGTGTTAATGTGTTAACAGGTCCGAAGTATCACTGTAGTATTGTGATTACTGGGAAAGACAGACAGAAGGAGAAGGAGGGAGGAAAGGGGAAGAAGAGAAGTAAGGGTTGCTGTACAGTATATGACATGGCATTGTGGAATGTTTGCTAGTCTCGTGACTTTCCTCCCATCATTCAGCATGTTTTCAGATTAAAGAACCAGCAGGGATGTGATCATTCAGTCTTTATTCTCTCCACTGGATGTTTTTTTCCCCCCCCTGCTCACATCCACAACCGGCCTTCGATCTCGACTCATCGATCTCGACAGAAACGTCTGACTTGGTTTTGGTTAAAGCCACGAGGCGCCACTCATTCATCATTATTACATTGGAGATTCAGAGCTAAGCATCTGTGTTTCAAATCTCTGGTGGTGTTTCAAAAACCAAAAGAGGTCTGGTGACCTCTTACTACCCGCTGTTCACCACGTAGACTGCGAGTACAAATAAAATTCAAATGAACGTGTAATATATGTGTCTGTAGAGTTTGCTTTTGTACGAAGTAAACGAGATATAAAATGTTTATTAATGAGCTTTTGAGGTGATTGTAGGTGGATTTTGTTACCTTAAGCCAGGCTAGCCTTTTCCCCCCATTTCCTGTCTTTATGCTAAGCTAAGCTAACTTGCTGCTGGCGGTAGCTTCATATTTATGGACAGATTTGAGCCATATCAATTTTTTTCATCTATCTTTCTGCAAGAAAATGAACGAGCGTTTTCCCCAAAATGGGAAAATATGACTTTAAATCTTAAAGCTACAGTGTCTCGCTGCCTAAATTCAGAGCAGCCAGCAAGGGTGTGATGATCAATCTATTTTAATTCAGGTCAACAAATTCCCAAAAAGTGGGGTTGGGTTAAAGGTTTTGAAGGCATTTGAATCATCAGTAACTCTTCTGTCTATTTGGATCCAAAGAATATTGTGTCCACTGCAGAGAAAAAAATGATTTTTTAACACTATTGTCTACTGAAGCCAATTTTACCAATTCTTAATCGTCAACTACAACACTATCCGTTCATAAAAGTACCGATTCAATATATTTTTTATGTTGGTGGCAGAATCTGCTTTTAGAACGTAAATAACATCAGACACACTACATTTTATAGAATGATTAGTAAAACTGTAAATTGTGGATCGATCTCATCTGATTAATACTGTCTGCTAAGCAAATAGATGTGTCACCTCCAGCAACCATCTGCTTTAGATTACGAATGGACTCACTTTGAATTTTTTCCAGTGAAAATGAAAATTGTGATGCAGAAATGATCATTCCCACTAAGAGTGAATCATATCGCAATATGATTTTTACACCGTATCGTGCAGCCCTAGTTGTTACATCCCCTGAAAACAGTGAAAAACACAGAAATCTCTCAAGTAAAATGTTCCAACTTTGGCAGAAGATTGTGTGTTCATGTAGGATCTCATCGCTCATATTAAGAAGCTGATTAAGGAAACGGGTGTTTCGGGGGCTTTAAAGGACCTTCGGGGGCTTTGAAAGATCGCCAGAGATTTACATTTCATAAGAACGGATGCGTAGCTCTGTGACTTAAATGTAGTGATCAGACATGAGAGGCACAAACTGGAGCGAGCTTCAGCCAGCTTCTGACAACTCCGCTTCAGTGATAAGAAAACTTCATGTGGACCCGCAGGCCTAAACTTTCCCCATCTGGCTTCACCTTCCCCCATCTGGCTTCTTCCCAGATGGAGGTTTCCAGGTCAGCGACAAAGGAGACGGGGGCATCAAGATGCAGGCCACCACAGCGGGCGGTCCCAATTCCTCCTCCTCCTCCTCTGCAGCTGTCAGAGTGTGAAAGGGGGGCGGAGGTGGTGGAGGGGATTAAAAGGTTTGGAATAAGCTATTCCAGGGCCTGGCTAAGTGCTGTTTCTCCTGGCCTCCTCTGCCCGTCGCCTTTGAAACTGGAGAAGCCTGAGTGTCTCTGACAATGTGAGCGCTGGGGCAGAGTGGGGACGGGCACCCAGAGGTCAGCAGCGTCCCACCAGTGTAGGCTTACTGATGGGTCTATTCAGCCCGCCGATGCAAAACCCCACTGCGCTCGCATACAAGGTGGTGAGGGAGAGAGGCCAACAGTTTCTCCCTGTCCTCATCACTCCAACGCTACCTCTGGATTTGTCTTACTCGACTCAACTTAGTGTTTTCCAAGCAGGGGCACACCTGCACGGGGCACGAATGGAAGGAAGTGCCTCTTTGCAAGGCAGGCAACGTCAAACCCTTCCAGCCAATAAGGGTGCAACTATCGATCAGTTCATCTATTAATTGTTTAGCCAATAAAAGGTCAGAAAATAGTGAAAAATGCCCATCGTAAGTTCCCAGAGCCTAAGCTGAGGGTTTGAAACTGCGCTGTATGGTTCAGTACCAAAAGATATTCAATTAGAATGATATAATACAGAAATACAGCAAGTCCTGACATAATGGAAACTGATTATTCGGTTATCAAAACTGTTGTTTCATCTAAATTCTACGTTGACTGACTAACCCCAGATGTCGGATCGGACCAACAACAGCTCAGTCGGAAAGTGAACAAGCATATTTGTGACATTTCTGAACTATTTCTATCTAAGTGTACTTTAGTTGACAATAAATATGCATTTGGGAGTGAATGGCATTGGCACACTGGCTCCGATGACAGCGGATCGCCTTCGGCAGCCGCAACGCAGTGCAGGCGTGTTCGGTGGACACTGGGGGTAATCAGTTGTTCGACTACTTGTTTCAGCGTTAAAGCCGAATACAGACACAGAACATCACAGCCAAATACTACCGGACTTCAGTTAATGCAATAAAAACTGATTTCTTCATTAGACATCTAAGGAACTCGGTGAGCTCAATCCCTTCTGTCTGTGTACATTCTGAATGTGCTCTTAGGGGTTTCAACTCCTCTAAACTCTCTCTGAAAAAAGAGCCAACGAGCACGTCAGCGACAGACAGCTTCAGGACTGTTTACTTCTCTCCGTCTCTGGTAGACAAGGAAGTAGCTCAGATAAGAATCGTCTCAATTTATGCAACGTCATTGTCCATATTAGGTCACAGTTGGCTAAATCTGTGAGCTGAGAGCATCAGTTCTGTATTGTTTCAATCCAGGCTGTTCCTTGGTTGACTCCCGAGCTCACACTGCAATGACTGTCATGAAAATGCGACCAAACAGCAGACATCTTTGGGTCATTCCAGTTTCCATCTGCCTGCTGCTTGCAGGTACACATAAACAGAAGCTTTCTGGGAAACTGAGTCAGGAATGTTAACAGAGACAAGTTGCCTTGCCAAGAGTCCCCATTAAAGCTTTACAGTTAAAGGGATCTTTAATGATACAAACATGTCAAAATGTGTTTTTTTTAATAGAGAAATAATGCTACAGTATCAATTTTAACCCTTATACGAGCTCACTAGTTGCGCAAAATCCAGCGCCATGTCTTGTTAGTTGTTTGGATCTGTGGCACTGAGTTAGAATAGTTTTCTCTTCAGTTCAGTTTTTGGCATATAGATGAATGTACACAACAGATGGTGTTTTGTTACATAACACCGCTTCGGAGGAAGGACATCAGGACAAACTTGTGCATTCAAAGTGGAATCCCTCTTAAACCCAAAGAGCTCGTCCTCCTCCGGTTGGTTTGTATAACGTTTTAAACTGTAGGGATATATACAGTTGTTTTCAGCTGTTTTTTGTTTGGTGTTGTGCGAGGGCATGCGGAGGAAGCTGCTGCCAGCACGAGATCCTGTGACTCCGCTGGCAGCGTCGCCAGCTTCCCAAGCCTCGAGAGAAAGCGGGAGGAACCACTTCTCAGCAGCAGAAAGAGCACAGAGTGCACCTTTAACCAAACAATTGTATTCTACTGGCCTCAGTGACCTTGTCCTAGATCATCTGTCTTTTTATTTATTTTTTACTGTAAAATGATCACATGAAAACCTGACCAGGTTTCTGTGGTGATGTTTAATGTGACATCAGAGCCTCTTGCTGCTGCATTAGGCATCTTTTCTTGCAAAGCCACAGACTGTCTGTCTGTGGGCATCAGAGCTTAAAGCTCTATTCACCAGCAGCAGGACTCCACAATGAAACCTTTCCAGCTGAACGACAGGAATCCTCTGTTTACAGTACACTTCTATACTCATATGACCATGAGCAACATTTCCCAGAATGAAAAGGAAACATAAAGTTAAACAGGAGCAAGAAAAAAAAAAAAAAACTGCCCTGGACTCCATAGCTTTCAAAATGACCACGAGTGAAACCTCAAGGAGGTGAAGAGTTTAAGGTTAACTGCTCCTCTCCTGGTTGAGACAGGAAATGGAGTTTCCATAGAAGGGGAACAGTATGTTATAGAGCAGCAGCTTTGGAACGCAGCCCAGACGCGAGCTCGTCAAGGTTGAAAAACAAAAGGGGATTGCTTAGCTTACAGCCACTCCTCCACTTATATTTCCCAGAGATGATGTTCACAGAAACCGGTGCCAGCTACTGTTTCCATGTATAGGTTTTAATCTGAAAGCAAAATATTTTGGTTGACTTTTTTTTTTTTTTGGCTGAATGTGTGAGAAAACCTAAGACAGGCCTGCAGTTTTTTTTCCACTAAGTAAAGTCAAGTGAGGCCAAGCTCGGAGCAGTAGTCATGAGTTACGTTTTACCTTGTAATAGGGTTTAAGATCAGGCATAATAACACAGGTCCCTGTGGCTTTAAGCTCCAGGCACTTCAGAAAGGCGTCATTATGCAAACAAAGTGCCTATTACAACAGTATGTGCTCGCAGGCCAAAACCCAGTCAGCAGTTACTGCCTGATGCTTCCGCTCAGGTTTGCATTGCTTTTTATTTTTTCATCAAACAGTAGCACCATACTGAAACAAACCGAGACCACCGGTTGGTCACGAAGCGCTGAGCGCTAACAACAAGTCTCTCAATCAATATCTGTCTTTAGACAAAGGAGTCTTTTTTCTCTCTTTTGGAGGAACTGAAGCCCTCTTCGAAGGTGCTTAGTTGCTTTTACCACAGTGCAATTCAAAGGGTCCTTGACTTTTTTTTTTAATGTCCAACAACATTTAGAGACCTTGGACAAGTTGGTCTTCAGCTTCAGCAAAGACCACAGAAGGCAGATTTCAAAACTCTCAAGACTGACACCCACTATGTGGGCTGTGGCATTGCCAAATATCAACAAAATCATAATAAAAAATACTAATCAAACTTATTTGCTTTCTAGATCTACAAGTGTTTTTCTCTATTTGTCATTGCAATTCAGGAAGGTGCGCTACATAATCAGGTCAGGGGTTGAGGAGAGGGCTTGGGGAAGGCATTGAGGACACTTCCCTTTTGTGGGTAAAAATAAAGCCACTGCAGATAAGCTAAAGGAGCACCAGGCTGCAGCTTAAAGGCTGACCAAATAATAAACTGTCAGTGTCTCAGGTTCATGATAGTAGTGCATTTAGGTGAGGGGAATTAAAATCCGTTCAGTAATGTCATCCCTTAAGGATGCATGTGGGTAAACATGTCAACAATCCAAAATATTTCAGTCACTTACCCCTTCCCAAAACAAAATGATGTGTTCATGGTTGGCAGCATCTGAAGCAGTGAGACGTTTTGGTGTCTGAGTGGTTCAGCAGTATCAGTGATCTTTGGTCAGTTTGAATTAAGGTGCAGTTTTCTCTTTCGTTTTTGACTTTGCTTTCATTTTGATGGGGTGAAGGGGAGTTAAAGAGGGAGGGAGGTGGGCGGTGGGTGGGGGTATTAAAGCTCCAAGGACTTTTCCACAACAAACAGGCTGTTGTTTCCATCAACAGCTGGTCTGGCATCAGGACTCCTTCACTTGTTGTGTGTCACAACATTTAGTGACATTTCAGATGCCGATGCAATCCAAATGGTATGCAGTGCTTCTATAGGAGCCCAGCCAAAATAAAAAAAACCACACACACTCGTTTCTTTGTCTTCCAGGCCTGGGCTCCTCCCACTTCCTTATTTTAGCACTTCCTCTATCCTCAAATGCCCCCTCGCCCTCGACTCACTACCGGTCCCCTGCCGGCAACTACGACCATCTACAAAACAGTGCAATGTCTATTCATAGGCACACTGGGATACAAATACAGCACACAGAGGGAGAGAGGAACACTATACACGCTCATACACTATGTTACATGTCCAACATGCACGCACACACATGCGCGCACACACACAAACACACACACACACACACAGACATAACACAGAATACAGAGACGTCAGCAGCAGCAGCTCTGGCCTGGTGGTGGTTGTGGTGCAGCCTGCAGAGACAGAGCGGTGAAGACGGCTGCTGTTTGGAGGGCCAACAGGAGAGGACCAGGAGCCGGGTGGCAATTTACTCCCATACTTGTTTAGGCTACTCCTTCCTCCTCCTCTTCCTCCTCCTCCTCCTCCCCTTTCCCAGCATCTGCACCTCTTCATCTCCTACTCAAATGTGTACAACGTGAAGAGTGGAGGTGTTGCAGAGAAGCTTGGTCAGGTCAGGTCAGGTTGGTTGGTGGTGCTGGGAGGGGGAAGGCGTGGTAGAGGGAGGGTGAAGGAGGAGGGGAAGCAGGGACGGTGGATGGGTTTAGCCTGCCGCCTTGTCATCTCCTTGCGGGGGCTCTTTGCGCTGGTTCTGACCGCCCCCGCTGGCCGCCAAAATCCTTTGCACAAAGTCTTTGGTCCGCCCGGCGACTAAAGGACCTGCAGTTGTCATGGAAATAAATTAGCAAGTGTGATGGAAAGAGAAGGGAAGGCAGACTTTTTTAGACTTTTCTAAGGTACCTGCTGATAAACCTGTTAATTAAAATGTACAGCTTAAATGAAGTGGACTACACAGAGTCAAGACAGGGCATTTGAAAGTAGAGTGTTGTCCCAAACTAGCTCAATTGAGCATCAGTGGAAAAAAATGTGACATATTTTACGTTTTTCTTATGTTTAAGCTTCTACTTTCACTGTTAGATAAAACAATAATAAAGCAGTGGTATTGGAAAACCCAGTGTATGCTAACATGTTAGCATGACTCTCCACACCTTCTGTTCTACCAGGGATTCAGTGCCGGTTTGGGGGTTCTTTGTATTCATCACATAATTCAATAAATTCAATTACGTTTTATTTGTATAGCGCCAATTCATAACAAACGTTATCTCAGGACACAAATGAAGCAGGTCTAGACCGAACT